GAGCCCGGGCTTGAGCAGGCTCCTGGCACAACCTGTGGCCCCATGGGGAGAGAGGAGCCCAGGCTGGAGCAGGCTTGCTGGCAGGACTTGTGACCCCGCGGGGGACCCACACTGGAGCAGTCTGTTCCTGAAGGACTGCACCCGTGGAAGGGACCCACGCTGGAGCAGTTTGTGAAGAACTGCAGCCTGTGGGAAGGACTCGTGCTGGAGCAGTTCATGGAGGACTGTCTCCTGTGGAAGGTCCCCACGCTGGAGCAGGGGAAGAGTGTGAGGAGTCCTCCCCCTGAGGAGGAAGGAGCGGCAGAGACAATGTGTGATGTGAACCGACCGCAACCCCCATTCCCCGTCCCCCTGTGCCACTCGGGGGGAGGAGGGAGAGAAAATCGGGAGTGAAGTTGAGCTCAGGAAGAAGGGAGGGGTGGGGGGAAAGTGTTTTTAAGATTTAGTTTTTATTTCTCATTATCCTACTCTGATTTGATTTGTAATAAATTAAGCTAATTTCCCCAAGTCGAGTCTGTTTAGCCTGTGATGGTAATTGGTGAGTGATCTTTCCCTGTCCTTATCTCAACCCACAAGACTTTCATTATGTTTTCTCTCCCCTGTGTGTGATAGAGTGGCTTCGGTGGGCACCTGGCGTCCAAGCCAGGGTCAACCCACCACACCAGGAGTCCAGCAGCACAACAGGAAACAACATGCTGACTCAAAGCGCTTTGACTCAGAGCTGGAGAAATTACGGTCGGGTTTAGGTGCCCCAGCCACCACCCTAGATGGCACCCACCATGCCGACCACCACCAGCAGTTGTCAGCTACGCTCCTCCAAACGAGGCCCCTGGGAGATGAAGAGATATCCCAAAGAGCTGCTAGTCCTGTTGGGAAAGCAAAAGATTAACGTCCGAACACACCCGCAGGGATCAGGCCTCACCTACCTGCCTCTCCCCTTGGAGGGAAAGGGTGTTCAGGCAGGAACCACTCGCCCCAGTAGAAAAACCCTTCCACTTTTCCACATGCATGCCCTTCCATAGCCCCAGGAGATGCTCTGTCCACGCAGCCTCCTGGAAAACATATCCTGCTGCTCCTGCTGCCATGACACTACCAGGGGACACCAGACAAGCCTTCCTGTGCTTGGGGAAGGTCCACCAAGGTCCCCAGCTTGCAGCTTCTGGGGCTGGACTGCACCAAGCTGATTATTTCGTTCCCCATCCCCTGGAGGGCTCAGCCTCCTTGAACCATGGAAAGAAAGAGGCATTCATATTTAGGAGCCTACAACATTTTCTGACTTTTCTTCCCTGGAATTCCCCAAATGAAACATCCCTGCTCTTACAGAGCAGAGTATGGTTAATAAACACAGGTCTGGCGCACTGGCAGCACTGCAAAACAGTGCAAGTGAATGAAACAGCAAGGTGGGGGCAACAGACTGGAAAGGTAACTTTTTAACAGCAAAGGACTTCAAAAGAAATAGGGAGAAAAGAGGAGAGAGCTATAGGAAACAATGGAAGTCGAAATAACAGCGTATCAAGATAGTAAATCTGCTGACCTTTCCATGATCTCCAAAGAAAAGAGATATAAAGCAAAAAAAGTGACAGAAAATAAAACAAGAAATACTAAGCATGCAATGAGCAACTAGAAAACAATCCCCGTT